GATTAAAATCAAATTTTTAGTAAATTTTGATAAAAATTGATGAGATGTGTGTAGAGATGGCAATGGGCCGAGCCAGGCCGGCTCAGGTCAGCCTGTATGCACACGAGCTTTGCTCGTGAAAGTTTTAGATCCCATAAAATGTATAGTTAAAATTAATTGTTGACTTTGACTTGAAATTTTAAGTGAATTTTAATCCAAAGCAAACAGGAGCATAGTGTCACAATGGCAACCCAATTTGATTTTATTTAACAATGTCACCTAATTTCATATAATGTTTCAACATGGTCCCACAAATTTTTTTCACCATTTTCATTAATGTTAAAAGGATATTTAAAAAAACAAAAATAAAAGGTTTTTATTTTATTTTAAAAACGTTTGTTTTTCAAATAATTTTTTTTTTCTAGGTAACTTTTATTAAATAAGTTTTTATTTTATTTTATTTTATTTTTTAAAATAAGTTTTTATTTTTATTTATTTTATATATATAATGCAAAGTTACCGTTTTACCCATTTTAAAGTTAGTGGAAATGGTGAAAAGAAATTGAGCGATCATAATGAAACGTTGCATGATTATGTGGTCATAGTGAAACGTTATATAAAATTGAATAGATAAGGTGAAATAAAATCAAATTTACTAGCTATGGTAATACTAAAGGCTTGTTTGTCTTCATTTATTTGAAAACACTGTTTTCTACAGTAACATTCTCCACCACACATTCAAATAATAAAATATTCTACACATGCCCCCCGGGGCACATCCAAGTTGGCAAAGGATGGGCATTGCTGGGCTTGCAACCTCAGGGTGGGGAGTTCGATTTCTGGATGGAGCAGTTGGTGATGTAATATCCATGGAGGAAGGCTCCCTTGGGGCCAGAAGTATAAAGGGTGCACAGACCCTGGTCAACTTGGGCATATCCCGCAATTAACCTCCACCCATCACTGATGGGCCGGGGATGGGTGGTTCAGGATATAGTTTGGTGTAAGTTAGGATACCTGGATATCAAAAAAAAAAATAATAATAAAATATTCTACACACAAACCAATAAAACTTCTTTAAATTTTAACCACACATTCTCCAAAAAATACTATTCAAAACTCCATTCTTTCTCCCATAATGGGAGACAAACGGGGGCTAAATATAAAGTTGGGTGGACATTGATGGATTTAACTCCCTCACTATATATAGATGGTAATAATGATTCTTTGTTAAAACGATAGTTCAAAATGCCTGTTATAGGACCGACCACAACAAGTGACAATTGTCTGAAAAGTGTGGAAATGCATCGATGGACAATGTTGATTAAACTCCTTTCAGCACTTATTTTGATGTCGACTCATAATTGAAAATTTTGAATCAATCATAAAAAAAACTTTATCATTTTCACTTTTTTGTTGCCAATAAGTAAATGAACCCATTCCAAACTGTTGTCCACTGCAATGCCATGGTGTTCATACATTTTCTATTTGTCAGAATTTGAGTCTCACAAAAATATGAAAACTTTCCCAACTTCAAAAGTAATTTGGCTTTTTCTTTAAATCAGTTTAGAAATGAATTGTATGAACAATTTTTGAATTTATGTCATTTTATTGTAGAGTACGTGTGGATGCCAACTAGACGACAGAATTTAGTCCGATCAACGAGCCGGCTCCTAAAAATCTGTTTAGAAGGTGATTGAGTGGATCACGAGAACTTTAAAGATCCCTTTATGGCTAGGATGACCACTACTAAGGATGCAACCATAGTGTTGGAACATATACCAAATTGAGAAGTGGCAACTGTCATTAACCGTTGTCAAACCACGGTTTGTCTCCGAGGTTAAATATGTGAATATTGACTGAATTGTGTAGAAATACAGCATCCTCGTTGCAATGTGCTGCACACAGACAATTTGAAAGGACAAATATTTTAGAATTTGTCATAATAACTGTGTTAATGATCAAACAATATGGTCCTACATCTTTGTTAATTGGTTCACCTTTTTTGAAATTTTGATTGCTATTGCAAATTGGCAATTGCTGAATGTATCTAAATCAAAAATAAGTGACAGAAAGTAGAATATATAAGCTGTCATATTTGATGATCAATAATGTTAATATCAAGTCATGCTGCAGTCAACCATTATGTGGGTCGAGTTAAAATTTTGAACGAAGCAGGTAAAGCAAATAAATATTTATAGCGATTTACTCATGAGGTTATGGATGCATCCCCTCCCGGGTTTTTCCAGGAAAAGAAGAATAAAAGTTTTTTTTTTTTTTCCCTCTCACCTATCTTGCACTCATTGACACACACAGAGAAAAAGTTTGTCTCCTAATGAATACTTTATGTAGTAAGAATATTAGAGAGATGGAATGTATAGATGTCAAATATACCCGTGAACCCAAATATAAGCGTACATATAATTAGGCTCCACAATATTAATCCAAACACTGGCTTCCCTCCTCATTTTTTTTTTTCACGTGTAGTTAATAAAATTTGCTAGAATTATAATATTTGAGTCTCTAAATCTTTTAAACGGCGTAGTCCAATGGCAAGCAAGTGTTTGAGTTTAAGTCTCACCTCCAATCATATATGAAAGTTCCACGTGTGAGCTCATCTAGACTGCACACGAGGGGGCGTTATGAAGATTTGAAAAAAGTTCTTTCCTTCTTTAACAATTTAAACTTTTAGATGGGGAGTTTAAACAAACGAAGCATTTCAGCTTGCTAGTAGTTCTGCAGCACCAAAAGCGGGGGGAAAGGGGGAGGAGTATTGATCGAATTCTGCATTTGGTAAAGCACTTGATGAAGAAACTTGTGACATTGATAAGCAGTTCAGGTGAATAATTGCTTTATATTTTTTTTAGTTTAGCCCTTTTTGCTCCCATACCTTGTTGCCATTTCCAAAACCAGTGCCTTACAGCGGGGAACTTAAAAATATTTTAAAACCAAGATTTTGTGCTCATTATATTATATATACACACACACATTACAATGTATAGCAGGAATGATCTACTAGCACCGATGCTCATCTTATATATAAATATAAAAGAACGAGTTTACTTCTCTACATTTCAATATAGTAGCACAGGAGTCCCTAATGATAAAAGCCGTGTGAATCTTTGTTAAATTATAAACTGGCCCTGATGAAAACATGTCTAACTTCAATATTCTCAGTATTAATAAGCATGATAATCTCCACCTTTACTGTAATTTGATTAAATATTGTGTATGTGACTCATATAGAATGGAATACATATTTACCGGAAAAAATAGGACAATGTTGAAGTGGAGCTCAAGGAACAGAACGGAACGGAGGGAAGCAGAGCGATGGCGTTAGCCTCTCGAGTTTTAATTTACTGTCTATTTCTCACTTCTCTATTATTGGGTAAAAATTCCAACATTAAAAAATACTAATATATTTTTAGTCTGGGCAAATCAAGAAAATCTAATTGTTGTAACATCTCAAATGGGGTGCTGCTGCTGGTCACTATTGTGACTGATGCTTTGAGTAAGAGCCATCTTATCCGAATATGATTCTTTTATGTGGGATTTCAGACATTGATAGTGGGTATTTGGTTTATGTTGAACTAAAGTTAACAAGTTGAATACAATCGTATACAGCCATGTTGTCTTCTTCTTAATGAATTTGTTTTCTTTTTGTTCTGATTCATTTGCCCTTTTTAACCTCTATAAGGTTCTTAATTTGACGTCGTCTGACACTCCACGGATGCAAATAGAATCAACTTGAATTCGGGATAGTTAACTGTAATCACTAGGTTTCTTCCCGGTGTGCCTTGGATGACATAGGTGCTACAATGGCCGGCACAAGGGGTCGTCTCATTCTGCATGGACGAGCTAAATTTTTTAGAGTCTTGCTATAAGTACAGGATTTCAAAAATCTTGTACTGTACTGGCCTACACCACACAATAGGGGGTGGGTGGGGGGAGTTTTGGCCCCATGTGAGATAAAATTCAAATTCCTACGTAAATTTTGTAATTTTTTTTATGTACTCAGAGGCTTATTCAATATTTTATTATGTGCCGTTGTAGTAATTTATACATATGACTAAATGAACAATGGGCTTTAATACATAAATCGGATCTGTTCAAGTCTTGGTGTCATTTTTGGTACGGGTTCTTGAAAAAGTTACAAAAGGTGTCTAGTCTAATATGCAAGCGCGTGCACAATGATTATTTTCTAATTATTTTTAACCTACAAAAAATTTAGATTCGGCTAAGTCTTTGAATCACATAAAGAATTTACAGCCTCTGATTGCATTTCACATAATTTTGATAAATTTATGTTCGACGTCTCTAATTTTCTCCTATTAGTTTGTCCTTTCTATTTATCCATATTTCTCTTTACAAAATCCTATCTTCATCTCTCGTCCCTTAACACTATGAAATAATACATGAAAACAGTTAAAAATGATAAATAATTCTTGAACAAAAAGAAATAGGTTTCATAGTTAAAAGACCACTATATGTACTATGTTCTTGTTCTAATACCTTTGTCCATTCTTTATGTCATGTTTTTTGGAAAATAAATATAGGAAATCTTATAGCACATGAATATGCTGTCCCAACATTTGATAGGTAAGAAAAATCCAAACTCACACAGAATTAGGAAATAACAGTTTATGTCAAAGACAATGATCATTTGCTGGGCTTTACTCATTTGTAGATGGATCTTCAATAGCAGCTAGGTATAGTGGAAAGTCGGGAATTAGAATGATAACATAGGCTCAACTTTCTTCAATCCGGCTTATGGGACTTGAACCCTCACTTTTTGCTTCCATAACATCAACTCGGAAGAAGGAAAGAAAGAAGAGGGTCCTGCAGAGAAAACACGATCATTTATTCAACCGATTTTTCTCATTTTACAGGTTTATAATGCTTAAAAACAGACAAGTTGCAATGTCAAATCCAAGTTGTCATAGGGGAATCAAATACTCCGAACTCATCACGTGAAAGGCAAACTTCAATTCACTATATACACTCAAAAGTGCAGTTGGCATTTTTTAAGGTAGAAACTTTTGTCTACAGGATTGGCAAGTGATTTCCAAGCATCTTGAATCCATCTTTCCAATGGCCTTTTCCTTCATTCTCTCAGCCTTCACGACCTCTTCTCGTGCTCGTTCCCATAGGGCCCGAGCACGAGCAAATTCAGACTCGGCCAACTCCATTTCTCTCCTCGAAAGCTCCCTTACACGCTCCGCATAAGCCTTTTCCATCGCCGCCAGTCGAATTTGCTCCGCCGCGTGCCATTTCAAGGCCTCGACATTGCTAGTATCAAACTTCTTCACATCATTGTAATCTTTAACTCTTCTTATTACAACACAATCTGATGGTGGCTTGAGTGGGCCAACACTTATTGACAATTGAAGGTCTAGTGATGGACCATCAAAATGATCCCTCGATCGTAATTTAGATGACGAATCAGATGGCCAGGATGAAGCCTGTGATGAAGAAGGTGCAGTGTGTGGATTAGTACTGGATAGTAGCTGCAATTCTTTGTGACGTTCTTCCATTGAGGAAAATAAAGTGAGGGACTAGGCTTACGCAATGTGGGCTTTATATAAGAATCTCATTACAAGGGCACTTTCGGAAGTTCCCATGTTTCCCATGCAAAATGACCAGACTGTTTTAACATCATTAGACCCATGATTCCAAACTCTGTGTCCTCACACTTTAATCGCTTACATTAGTACTTAATAAAGTTAGTATACAATACATTGTACTCAACCTTGTTTAGTATTGCTTTCATTCAAGTTGATAATTAATTTTAATCATAAATTTTATGGGACCCGCAATTTTTTATCCCAAATTTTATTAACTTTTATCAAAATTTACGAAAAATTTGATTTTTTACCATAAATTTTATTAACTTTATCAAAATGTACGAAGATTTTGATTTTCATTCAAGTATACACTGGATGGGAGTATAAATAGACATAATGAAGGAAGAAAGATATGCAACATGTTTGTATGTTTTCGCGTAAATCGAGTCTTGTTCAATTATGTGTATACCACACAAGAGCAGTAAAAGTGTATATAAGAAGTAGAATGTAATGAATTCAAATTTACACTAAGATGGGTGAATTTCAATTGCTCATAGGAAATATTGAAGAGCGTAATTAAGATATTTTAATTTTTTTTACTTTTTAGAAAGTACTACTTTTTTGTTTAATAATTGATTTAAATAATTGATTGAGGATGGATACGGGGATTAGTAATAATTTCACTTGCACGTGCGATGTGTGTGATTTTGGTTTGAGCAGGGCAAATGGCTTTAAGGATAGTAGGCCCAAGCTGTCGGCCCTCTTGTATTAAAAGGTAGAGAATTTTACAGTATCGGTCCCAATATATTACCTAATATAAGTTGGTCCATAATCATTTACATTTCTATTAAATCATTATGTGATTATCGCACGTTCAACTCTCTTAAATTAAGCTCATGTTTGAATTCCATTTCTTAAAATTGATTTTTGATTTTTTCAAACTTATTTCCAAACACACATTTCATGGGATCCAGAGCTATTAATAATTTTTTAACCATAAATTTCATCGAATTTTTTCAAAATCTACTAAAACTATGATTTTGATCAGAATTAAACATGAGCTAAGTTTTGGTTTCTAACTTGGGTTGATGTTCGAAAATTCACGTGATAATTTAATGCTAGCTCGGACTACTTTCCGTCGTTGAGCACTAATTGTGTAAAAAAATTCAGTTTAGTCTTTTTTTTAAATATTGAAGATTAACTCGTTACTAATGCAATATGATGGAGTTGAGTTGTGCAATTTGTATAAAGGCAATTAGCTTTTCTCCATATAAAGCCCACGCTTCAAGCAGACTGGCACGTGGGAGGGGCACTGTAGAGGGTGGAGGG